GGGCTGAACGTGGGGAATTGCCACTCCAGGCTGCACAAAAGCCTGTGGATAGACATAGTGAGCAGGTATCCTGTTGAAAGATGGGAGAGGGAGTTAGTCGGTACGCGAGTCAGCGCCTAAGCATCACATCCATACTCCGAACTAAAACAAACTCAATTTAGTTGTTGTTATGTGCATAGGGTTGCCACAATAACTAGACTGAATGGACCAATTACCAGTTCACTGGTCCGAAGAGAAGCATCGCTCCAAAGCACAGCATTATAGCCGAGTTAAGTAGGAGTGTGTAATGTTGCTTGAGAATATTACGTTTAATGCTATTTAAATCTTTAGAAGGACCAGGATTACAGATGCCACTTTTAAGACAACTCTCAAGGAGTAAGCTTGATTATTCCATCTGGAAAATTGCGGTATTTGTTTTTCAAAACACCTGCAAGTCATTTCTATTACCCTGCTTCTCGCTTAACTACTCGACTCTTAGTAAAATTATTTCCTGCAATACTTTTATTATTAGTAACTGAGCAGTTTGACAGCATTGCTATAATGAGTTTGACAATAGCCAATAAGGCGCCAAGATGGTTGAACCCTGATTTTATGTAAAGTCTTCTCAGGGAGGCGGGGGAAAGAGTGTATTGTGGCAACCCTACTTAAGTTGCTATGCAGACTCAGCACACATTAATTTCTCTGCAACCTCAGTCACCCTTATTAAAAATAAGAAAAAAACCAACACAGGCGACAAGGAGTTTAAATAAAGTTCACAAGTGTGGTAAACACAGCAAGAATCACACTTTCCAAACGAATGATAGTGCAGCTCACTCCGTCACAAGAGGCCATTGAGGGGAAGCTACATAGATGCTATTAAAATCCATAACAGTGACTCCTAAGTACATGTGCATCACACTTTTATAAAGTTTGTAAGGACACAAGGGTCAAACCTGTTTGATTATTAGGCCACTGATGTCCTGTTTTGTGCCAGCTTGTTTATTTCTATGCAAGACATACAGCATAGAGTTTTTTGGGAGACGGGCATAGGATTAAGTCTAAATAGATCTGGTGCTTAACAAAAGCAAAAAAACAAATTTACAGCTCAAGATATCACCATTCTGAACAGATCAGTACACGCTTTCCCATCTTCTACAAGTCACAAAACTTGCTTCCTTGGCTTGTTTAGTTAGTCCTTCAGTTTTGAAAATTGGTCGTATTGTTGTCTTAGCACACAAGTGTACATACAAGTTCATCTCATAGTTGTATTTTATCATATAATACGATTTAAAAAAATAATATACTCAGTATTAATTATCATTTGACATTCATAGCCCTGTCTTGCATCTGGATTTCCACAGAGAAGTCCTTCATATATGCAACTCCTTTCCAGTCAGTGAATCTTTATAAATCCATGAAAAACTGCTTGTGTTGATTTACTACTATTTCATACTGAACTTTACCTTTACACACAACTCTAAAGACTGCACCAACCTTTTAGCGCACTGTAAGCACAGATGCAAGTTGCAACAGTAAAAACTGTCCTCTTTTGTCCAGATTCAAGATTTAATGGAAAGGGTTTTTTTTGTTTGTTTGTTTCATTTTTAAAAATAACTTCAAGATTTACTGAAGTGGTCAATAAGGAACCGTTTCAATCAGAAGGGACACTGTCAACTAGATTAATAGCAAAACATAATTTAAAATAGGTGATAGTCAGGTTTTACAACAGCCTAGTTTTCTTCGTAAGAAAAAAAGAGCTCAGTTGATTGAATAGGAATATTAGCAGAGAGAAATGTTCAGTTGCCGTGTTTAAGACATGAACACCACAATCATAAAAACCCAACGTGTCAATGAAATTAATTTCCTTCTGTGTGAAGGGAGAAAAGAAAAAAAAAAAAAAAGAGTGACAAATAGGGATTGGGAAGGGAAAGAAAACATGAAACAAAACCATAAGTTGGGTTTTTAACACTCACCTAATTTATGAAGTGATTAGCCAGAAGTGCATTTGAAGCATACTTAGGCTGGCTCTGTGCATTTAAATACACATCATTACCTGAGCTCTCCATGCAAAATGGATGAGCATAAACAAGCATTTTGTGTTGGTCACCAATCAAGTTAAATCCTAATAAATATAACACCACATTTTTTTAAGTATTACGGGAAGAGGTACAAAACTACATTTGAAATCAGCGAGAGCCTCTTCTGCATCATTAAGAGTCCATTTAACACCACATCAAAGCAATCTTTACATACAGCATTTATGAAAGGGAGTAATTCTAACAGAAGAGACAGTAGGCAAGCTTATCTAGATGCTTGTGTTGACTTAAACTGATGTTACTAAGATTTTCTGAAGACATTAGGACATTTGGCCATATCCTTGAACAAGACAGAAAGATACATGTGCTCCCACTTAAACTCTTGTGACTTGTTTTATTTAAGCCAAGAAGCTAACAGGTGGTGAAGTTATGAAACATTATCTGTTTGCCACATCTTACCCTACAATAAACATAAACCCTGTGCAGGCTCCTCACCACCATGCCATTTCACACATGATGATTGACAGCATAAGCTGCAGTGGGGCTATTTTTGATCATCTGTCATGCTACAACTGTTTTGAGACGAGTAAAATGGCTTTATATGGCCAAAGTAAACTTCTACCTACTGCAGAGGCCAGCAAATGTAGGTCTCAGCCATTCAGAACCCAACTGCTTTTAATGCTCTGCCAGGTCAAAAGCTGAAAAAGCAATTCCCGGTTATGCTGGATATCCTTGGTATCCCTAATTTTAAATAAAAGCTGCTGCTTTACTTTAGAGAGTAAAAGTGTGAGAATTATACACGGTTTAAACTTTCTTTCCTGGCAGTAATTTTTATTTTGGAATGTATATTTATTGTTTTACGCTTCTGCAATAATGAAAAAGGGAAGACACGTTTAACTTTAGCAGTAACTTTAGCTTTGGAATATTCAAAATGGAATGACATATGCTCCTGCCATGTACTGTAAGACCTTCATTGTTGTTTTAACAGAAGATTTGTGTTTAACTATAACCTCAAAAATAATCCTATAAGCAATAATAAAGTGAAAGCTAATTGTTTCAAAGGAAAGAAAGAGCTTTGTAGGCTAACGCAGAGAGCTGTGGCATATAGAAATTCAGCAGTAGTAGCACATCATTGACTCTCAACATTAAGTTCTTGTGAAAGTAGATATTTAACTTTGAACTAAATATCTTGCTTTGGCCCTTGCATGGCATCATCTGGTTTGGTAAGTGGAATTAAAAGCTTTGCACCAATGCACAGCTTTCCTTATAGCAGAAACAGGTTACATAAACATCAAGACATACAAGACTCTTAAAATGCTTCTTTTTAAATTTATGCCTGATGCCATTAAGAGGACATTTAGCATTCTGCAGGTTAAATTCTGACTGTTTGGCTTCACTCCCTCTTCCCAGATTATCCATAGTCTAGTACTAAACAGGTCTTTTGATCATACACTCAAGAGAGCGCTTTTCGTTCTCTCTTAAGACAGGCAGAATGGCGTAACTCTTGGAAGATAGTACCCCAGCAGATAGTATCAGCTAACCATTTGATAATGAACTTAATAACTTTAACTTAACTCTGGTCTTACTACAAACAGTGGGAATGTTCTCATTTTGATCGAGGTACAAGTTTTAGACAGAAAATAAAGGAAAAACAACTCTCCAACAGAACAAGCCATATCCTACACCAGTACCTCTGTATAACCCTGAATTTTCCCACAAATAGTAAAGCAAAAAATTACATAAGCAAAATGAGAAACGCTATTTTAGGAGGCAAAGTCATCTTCCCCCTCCATAAATTCCTGTTGAATTCAGAGATAGTATTTTAACAAACAATCCTGAAAACAGAGCTGTATAGATAACCAGTCCTGTGATCGAACAGCTTTCTATGAAACACACCAACAGTAAGATAGATGCTGAATGTAAAGAGCAGGGAGAAATGTTATTTGGTGGATGAATTGATCTCTGCAGCACTGAATCAAGAAAAATTCCCAGCATTTTAAATGCTTCATGCATTGAAGCTAATCTAGTTTCTGTCTCCCTCCACCACAATAATGTTGTACTTAATTGAGAATATTGTACTTCTGCATCTTCTCAGTAAAAGTAATCCAATTATTTTCAGTTTCTTGTTTGATAGGTGGGGAACCATATCAAAACACTGCTGACCATACCAGAATATGGCAGCACCTCACTAATTTGCACTCTGGTAGGAATGAAAAACCACAAAACATTTGGAGCTTTTGTGCATGGATTAGCAGAGTATTGGTAGTGAATCACCACTACAACCCATTTTACACAGCATATTAGTAAAGTGCACTTTTTTAAAAAATGCAACTGCACAGGAGGAAGAAAGGTGACCATGTATTTCAGTGCAATCCATGTCACTTCCTCTTAAGTGTGAACTCTTCAATGAAAATAGATTCAAGTAAGCACTGGAACAACTGCTCTTATCGTCAAGGAATATAGTGAATGAAGATGTTCATTCATCCTAATGAATGCTGTTCTTCTTAATCTGAACTACCTGAAAAAGTACAGGTCATAGGAAATTTTGAGGAGGAGGCAGGATGAGTAATCATCTCCTTTGTTTGCACAGAGCAGAAGAAAGGCAAAAGCCAAGGATTAAAAATGACCAATTTTCATATATACATGACCCTGCGACTAACATTCCTTTTCTTCAGACTTAGGTACATTGCATTAGAAATAAAACCTTATTCCGCCTGCTGGAAGAATTTCCCTGACCTAAATGCGGTTTACATGTTCTATTGTTCCCTCTGGGTAAGGAAAGCAAGAAAGATCCCTCCATTTGCACAGTCCTTCTAGCAACAGATTGCCACAGGTTCTCCTTTTCTGTTGTGCTCAGCAAATACTCAGTCTGTCCACGGCTGATCCCCGGGCAGTCCACTGGTTCCTCTTTGCAACAAGTGCTTTAACAGCTCTGGAAACAACGCGCTCTGCCTCCTGCCTACCTTAGCGCAGGCATCATAAACGATGACTGCATATACGCTGTCGTCTCCTCACACTTCAAAGAAGTCAAACAAAATACAGTAGAGGATAATCATAAGAAGGAAAAGAAAAAAAAAAAAAGACAAAAAGTTTTCCACAACCTCTCCACGGGTCTCAGAAGAATCCACACTCTCTTTTGAAAGTATGTGAAGTTTCTAGGACAACTTTTTCCTAGTTTCAGGGACTGTTTCCTACTGGTTTGACAAATCAAACTACTGAGAAGCTATTGTTGCTTAATAACAGCTAGGTACAATATTCTAAAGCTATTCTAATCAAATAAACAAAATACATGTGTGACACATTTTCCCTGCTTTATTGTTAGCTTACTCATTAATTAGCAAAATGCATTATTTTGCAATGAGCTTTTCAGTCAGTGTGCATTAGTTAAGTGACACTGTATGGAAAGTTTAAAGCAGACTTCACCTCCTAATTATATGCCTAGAAGAAGCAAGAGTTAGATCTACTTAGGAATAGTATACTCAAGTCAAGGAGAAATGCGCTACATATTAAAGACAGATTGAAGAAAAAAAATCTCAAATTAGAAAGCCCAAATGGACGCACATTGTTAATACGGAGCTCCACACCCCTCCCAAGAACAAACCCTCCAAAAAAATTATGAACATGCAAGCAATACGTTGATTTACTTAAAAATCAAGAAGTCACACAATTTAGCACTCACTACAAAATATGGTTAAAAAATCACAGGCTACAGCTTGAAAGCAAGGAAAAAAAAAAAAGACCCTTTGCTCCCCATGGCAAAGTCACTCCTCAACAACAAAAACAAAATTAAAAAGAGCCCCCCAAAAAACTTTCACTACAGCTCTTTCAATTAAATAAAAGCACACAGTTTAGCTATCAACACCACTTCATTACTGTAATAAATAAATAAAAAAAAAAGCACACGGAGGTCTATTGACTATATGAAAAAAACATACATGCATCGTTAATCACCATTTTAGCTTGTTTGTGTTTGAGTCTACTGGTTACAGAGTTTAATTCCAAACAGAACTATTCCACCTCTTATCATCATATCCTTCTGATCAGTTATCTTAACTGTAAACGATCCCTGTCAGATTAGAAAGAGATAAATAACATTGAGTCAAGCTGAAAAAAAGAGAAACGGGGCACAGCAATCTTGCATCAAGTCATACCTCCTTGTTTTATCATAGGGTCAAACGGGACCGGACTGCTTAGGTGGAAGGGACACGTCCCACACAACTTGACTCAGCTGCGGCATTTAGAACATGACCGACAAGATGAGCGCATTTATGGGTATACATTTATAAGTCTGAGAACTTCAGCACTGCCGGTGAGTTTATAAGGCTGCTACTGCAAGAGGCCTTCAAAGATCATACTTTTTCTTTCCTTATTTTAAAAAAAGATTTTTTCCTCCCCTATTTGAGGTCCCATTGAACAGACTTACCCAAAAGGCCTCTGTATGAGAGCTGGATGAAGCTGCTGGACACCAAAGGCAAAACCTATCAACAGAAACACATCACATTCTCTGCATGGGTGTTCTTTTGGCCACTTCTTTATGCTACATACACACACGCACACAAACGCAGAGTAACAGCCTTCACGAGCAACCTCCACTGACGATGTCTGAAGGCCAGCAGAACCACAAATGAGAAAGTAAAATATATCAATCCATATATACACGCACACACATACATGCAATACAGAACTTAAACCAGTAAAACACACGCTTTGCTAGAGGTGTTTAGAAGAGCAACTTTTTCTAAACAGTAAGCACAAGGTTTTCATTCCCATTTTATTTTGCGCTCCATTCTGGTCCCTAACTTGAGCCTCTGAAGGATTATATGGTACTTTCTATTCCTCATTGTGTTTACGTACTTTCTACAGACTTAAATTAGCGCTATCTCTACTCATGAGGACTTAGCGTGGGGGTCAAATTCTAACTTCACTTCTATTCGTCAAGCGCCCAAGCGTAAACTCCTTTCTTTGGTGGGCTCTCAGTTACTCACACAAGTGTTCCTCGGGCCAAGCACACGGGAACTCAGAGCAGCCTCCTTCAGAGTGCAAACGTGCACACGCTCTGCGCTCCTGTTCTCCTTGCTGCAAAGCAGCAGTTTGGGAAGCGTCTAGGACATCAGATTGGCTCAGATGTGGTCTTAGAAAGAGCCGTTTCATTTTAAAGTCTGCATAATAGCTCCCATCTGTTGGAGGAGTTTGCATTAAGATACTGTTTGTATTAATAAGACCGCACACATTGGAAGTGATTCATTCCTAGGCCAATCTTTCCCTGCAACGATACTGTAAATGGTCAGCGCCACCACACTCCCAGCAGCGGGAATAACCAATGAAGTGTCTGAGCTGTGGAAGTCTTCCTGGGGAACTGCAGATATTTTCTTTCTGATCACTTTAGGTTTTTAAATAAGGCGCATGTACCAAAAATAGCCAGAAAGTTACTACACGCTGCACTGAAAAATCAAAACCAAAGCACAGCCCAACAGTCAGCACACTTCAGCACAGTGCCGGACAGCACTGCCCCTTTTTTGAAGTTTTCCTCTCTTCAGAAACCTGAGGTACAGCGAGAAAAGCCCTTCAGGGCCGTTTCCTCACCTGGCTGCATTATCCGCGGCTTGGCACCCAGGTACGCCAGGTTCACGTTGGCTTTCCTGCCGTCGATGATGGGGTTGGGGTCTTTACAAGCCCTTTCAGCAGCAGCTCTGTCAGCCATGGTGACCTTAAACGGGCGATGCTGCCCATCAGATCCCTTTCGGCGGGCAAGGAGAAACCTCTCCCCCACGGCAGCCACCCGGCTGCCCC